AAAAATCTAAATGTACTTTCAATTTACTGGAAAGGGCAAAATGTACCAGAAAAGTACAAATGTACTAGGAACGGCAACACTGGTACGAAGACCGCTTGGCCACTGATGAACACTTGAAAAATACAGACTTTAGTTAGTAATGGTTCTTAAAATTTTATACAAAACATTTATACTTAACAAAAACACAGCAAAAGTTCATAAATCCGGCAGCCGATGGTGAGAAATATTCTAATGATAATACCACATACAACATGCTAGTATTCCGCGAAGCAGAATTTGTTTGAAGAAAACATGAGCGTAATACAGTATATTAAATTCTCGCTAATCCAGCCATTTCTTATACAAATGGGTACCGGATTACTGAGAGAATAGAGACATAAAGCCTGCCTAAAGGATTCAATTTTGTTGTTTATTAAAAGTGTCTCGATGTCAGTTTAAACGAAAACTGTCGCTTTATCGAAGATCTGAGAACCCTTTTTTTCGAATTTTTATCATACAGTTTAAAGAAGTCCTTGTGGTGCTTTTCAAGGTTTGGGGTTCATTTCATTTTGTGTTTGGTGGGAGACTACAGACCCTCAGTCTGAATCACTTTCAACCTTTAGATATTCCTTCCTTCAGAAGAGTTCTATCCTCAAGACCTGTCTCTTTATTTTGTCACATAACCCTGCCACACTTGTAGAGGTGATGGAATTCACTTTCCAGGAGGTGATAAACAAATGGACAGATCGTATGATGGAGCAGATTACATTGGTCAACATCACCACACAAAGAAGCAGACATGATCTTCTCTGGGTACAACCAACAAGGCAGGAAAGCTACACCAGCCCATCACACAGTGAGAGATGTATGTGTTGTCAGCAGGAAAGTATAGAGACAGATAGTATAGAGACAAAAATATAACTGTGGACAATTGAGAGGACTACCTAATAATTTTAGATAATTTGGAGTTTTGCCAATGGTACCTAACCTAATATGTTAAGCATGTTTTTTTTTCTTAAATTTATCTGTATCATTAAAATAAATAATACATAAGTTGTAAAGTTCTGTTTTTTAATAATAAATTAATTTTTCTAAGTAAAATTGTAATTCATATTATTCTAAATTGCATAAATGAACAAAATTATTATTCAAACATCATTCTACTACAATAAATTCTTAGATTCATCAATGAGGACTCTAAACTTTTATATACTACTTTCTACTGCATCAATGTGCAGAATAAATAACAAATTAGAATGAAAATAAAAAAGTCTTACCTTTTCTTTGTTTTGCTTCTTGTTAATTTTTTGAGCACAAGAAACTTTTTAAATAACTCCATGTCTGTTTAAAAGGTGGATTATAAAAGTTCAGAATGATACTTCTTCCTAGAATAATTTAAGAATTTAAATATTAAGAATAGAAAAGATCAAGACGATTCATTACCTATTAATTAATTTAATATTAAAATAAATTTTTAATACAGGACATTTATTGTTTCATTCAAAAGAATATAAGACAATGTGCAACCGAATATCATTTATAATCTGATAATTTAATTTGATGCTAAGTGGAAACAACCTTAAATATTTTAAGTAAAAATATAACACTTTTACATTTAATATTCTATCGACAATTATTCAATTTTGATTGCTTATAAAGAAAAAAACGTTACATTGCCTGCGTTATTCGGGTTTATGTAATTAAACATTTACGAAAAATCTCGAAATGGAGGGAAAAATAACTAGCAATTTCCAGAAAACTTTCTATTTCAAGATGGCGTCGGCAATACGAAATCAAACGAATTCGAATCGGTGGAACGTGCGATAAATGCGTCACACGTTACGTCATAAGTTCTACGTCAGAATATTAACTAATTGCAAATGTTTTCTTTAAAATGCTAAAATAGTCCTTATTTTTGTAAAATATATTTGTAATAATAAATAACATTATAAAAACTCATTCCGTAACCTTACAGGTTACAGGCCGCAAATCTAGGTTTAAAGCGTATCTAATTTAAATTACTTAATTATGATATAAATCGAAAAATATTAAGTTTCCTACGTTACGAGAGTTTTCATTATTAAAATTTGTACGAAAACTGTTAAAATGGAGAGAAAAATAACTCGCAATTTCCGGAAAGCATAAATTTCCAAGATGGCGTCGGCAACAATACGAAATGGAACGAATTCGAATTTGTCGTTGCAATGCGTCACGCGTTACGTCACGAGTTTTACGTCATAGATGTAATATTTCGAGTATTTTAATTGCATTTTTTAAAGGAAAGTTTATTTTTAACAAATTCTTTTCTCTCGGATTTGGCAGAATATTTGTTAAATGTAAAACTTCGCTAAAAAGAAAATTTACTCAGATTACATTACAAGTGGTTGGGGTTTGATTGGAAACAATTGCTTCCACCATTGTAAGATCGGGAATTTACAACATATTTCATACAACTGAAAGTTTTAATTTATATTGCCACAATATTTTCTTAACTGTGAAAGAATGGGTAGCTGCACTTCCTTCTTGCGGATTGATTGTGTAATTTACATAATAAACAACAACCCAGCACATTTCTATTACCAAATGATCTGTCAGATTATCTATTGGGCTATGTTGAGCCTAATAACTAATTACATAACAAATCAGTTTGGCTAGAGATAGGTGGTTTAGCTGTTCTCCTAATAAATTTAAAAATTAGAATCAAATTATTTTAAATTTAGAATATTCTGAAAGGACATCGTCCATTGTCTATCCAAAAGGATATTGTCCAAAGGAAATAATTTTCCAGAATGAGACTTAAATCCACAACTGTTGATTTATTTATTAAAATATTGTTTTCTAATCCTCTGTGTTCTAAGTAAAATGTCACGTCTGAGGGAAACCCACCCGTCGCCGGCCGTTTTCAGTTTTAACGATACTTTAGTTAATTAGGTCGGAAATCAATTACAGTATTTCTGAGTTATATTTTCTTTGTCTGGGATGTTTTTATAATTTTTATACAATTAATGGGTTTTATATTTTATATTTAGAAATAATTTAAAAGTCTATAGGCCTATATAAGAGCTAGCAGATTAGCCCAGCATAGGCCAGTTAAAACATCAACAGCGAACATTAAGATTATTATATCATTTTGTACTTCTAACCTGTAAACACTATCATATTATTGTGTGTAGTTTAAATTTAGTTTATATAGTTTGTCTTTTTTTTCATTTCTTTTGATGCTAATTAGAGTATTTTCTTAAGTGCATAGAAATACGTTCGATATTTCGCAAAAACCCAAATAACTTCTGAAATACAGTAGAACCTCGATTATCCAACCAAATTGGAGACTGGGGTTGGTCGGATAATTAAAAAGTCGGATAACCGAAAAGTATGAAAAAATCCATTATTAGTGTAGTATATTATTATATCCCATGTAATTAGTATATTAGTATATTAGTATATCGCTATTAACCTACTTTGCGTTGAAATTTTCATCGATGTTAAGCCTAACAAAAATTTTTTAAAATAATAATCGTCGCTATTGTATCGTTAAAAATTAGAAAATTAAGCTTCGTTTAAATACTGGCTCCCTTTCATGGTCGAATGAGTGTTGCCAGCTAAAACACGTATAAATAATATTAAAGTAGCCAAGACATAGCCAAATATTGTAGCGCCACATCACTAGCGGACATTTGAAATTTGCCGACTTTGACGGTCGGTTAACCGAGGGGTCGGATAATCGAGGTTTTACTGTAGTACAGTAGAAAGCGACTTTCTCAAGGTATTTTTTAACTGTCTATCTCCATTCCGCCGGGTAAATTTAAAAAAAAAACCGTTTATAGTTTGCATTCTCATGGCGTACCCTAACTGTGTACCAAATTTCAACTTTTAACTCCTAACCGTTTTTGCTCTGGGTTTATTATTATCATTATCATTATATCAACCCATTTCAATTATATTAGATTTGCTAACAGGTGGGTCTATTTTTTTTTAACTGTAGCCGAGAAAAGCACGCAACTTTATGCTGGTGTTTAACTTTACATTACTTGGATTAGTGAATTCGTTTTAATCGTTTCATTATACTTCATATGTAATTGTTTCGTATTGTTGAATTTTTCTTTTATTTGTGGCTCTTATGCCAAAGTGGTATTTTTGATATGCAGCAACTGACTTAGTTGCAGCCTACCAAAAAGGTGTAATGTTTTCGTGATAAAATATCAAAATAGTAGTAGCCCGGGACGCCCCCTAGTAGGCGTTCTTTACAAATTCTCATGAGGCACGGTTCCTTTAACTTTTTTGTTCTACAGCTCTGTTAAAGTCCCAATTGCATCATACGGATCTGTATTTCTATCTATTAAACATTCTAAAAATCTTTAAAAATAGTTTAATTTGTTTATTTACCTTCAATTGTAAACCTCGATCTTAGATGTATCCGCCATTTTTCAACAAATTTCCCATGAGTCAATGCGCGACGTTCACTGACTTGTGAGTCACGGGATGTTGTGAACATGCGGCGCAAGGTTAATATATGCTAATATTATAAAGAGGTAATGTTTGTATGTATGTATGTATGTATGTAAGTTTGTTTGCAGCAGGTAATCTCCGAAACTACTCATCCGATTTCAAAAATTCTTTCACCAATATTTAGAATGGAACCTCAGGATAGACATAGGCTGTATATTATTTTGTTAAACATTCATATAAATTAAAATATATTATCTAGGTTAAGGCTTTTATGTCCAACAGATGGCGCTACGAGTACGACGCCCTAAGTTTGCTTTTCTGTGAATCATTATGCTTTTCTGTGAAAATGAACTAAAGCNCACGAAAGAAGACTTTATACGTGGAAAGCCCCAGGATCAAGGGGAATCGAAGTTAGAAATCAAATAGATTTTATTTTGATTAATCATAGATACAGGAACACAATTACAAATATAAAAACATATCCAGGGGCGGATTGTGGCAGCGACCACAACCTCTTGCTCTCCGTGATCCGAGTTAAATTGAAGCACATAAAAAGAAATAGAAATGATAAAAGAATGAGAATTGATGATTTGAAGATTAACAACATTAGGGAAAAATATGAGAGTATGACTAATAATAGACTTCAAAATTTAAATTTGGAAGGAAATGTGGAAGAACTTTGGGAGAATATGAAAGGGGAAATTAAAGAAAGTGCTTACCAGGTTTTGGGAGAGGAGAGAAGAAAAGCAAGAAGACCTTGGATTACTGAAGAAGTGTTGGAGAAAATGGATGAAAGGAAAAGATGGAAAAGCGCAAATACATTAGATGCTAAAGAAAAATATAGAACAATCGATAAACAAGTGAAAAGTATGGCAACGAAAGCTAAGGAAGAATGGCTAGACAGAATCTGTCATGAATTAGAAGAACATGAATTGTCTCAAGAGCTGAGAAAGGTCTATCAAAACATTAATTTTATCTCAGGAAAGAAAAGAAGAGTGAAAATTGGGGCAATAAAGGATGAGAATGGAGAAATTTTAATGCAGAAGGAAAGGCAATTAGTAAGATGGAATGAATATTTGACAAAACTTTATAAAATAGAGGATAACATGGAATGTGAACTGGAAGAAGAATATGACGATGATGAAACTCCTAAATTTCTGGAGGATGAAGTTGAGGCAGCCTTGAAAAAATTGAATAGGAAAACACCTGGAATTGATGGCTTGCATGGGGCTTAAGTCAATGGGTTTTGAGAGAAGAAGGATTATAAGTCATTTTCTCAATAAAATTCTTGCAGAACAACAACTACCCACAGACTTTACTAATTTTATATTTATACCTATACCCAAAATAGCAGGAACACTGGAATGCGACAAACATAGAATAATAAGTTTAATAAGCCATATCTCAAAAGTTTTAACTAATACTATCTATAGAAAAATAGAACCGAAAATTGAAGCAGAACTAAATGATACACAATTTGGTTTTAGAAAGAACAAAGGAACTAGAGAGGCCATTACATTAATTAGACTTATTGGAGAAAAAATGATTGAAAAAAACAGAGATCTCTATCTGTGCTTTGTGGACTATGAAAAGGCGTTTGACAATGTTAATCACACAATTTTATTTGAAATACTTCAAAAAATTGGAATAGATAAAGGGATAATTAAAATTATTCTCTTTTTATACAAAAATCAGAAAGCAATAATAAAAATTGATGAGAAAGAATCCAACTGGATAAGGGTGGAAAAAGGAGTGAGACAGGGATGCGGACTTTCACCACTGTTATTTAATATTTACAGTGAGTGGATGATGCGAGAAGCNAATTATTATATTGAAAATAAGAAATAAATGCATAGGTGCAAAAATATTTTACTCATACAAAAAATTCTCAGAATCAAATTTTCACTTCTGATTTATCTATTGTAATGTATTTTGTTGTATAATTGAATACTATTTGAAAACTTGAGAACAGCCAATTGATATGATGGTAGCTATCTATTTAATCTATGAATTTAATATATGAATTATTGTAATCTTATTTGCTTGTCCAAGTATTTAATCTGGTAAATATATAATAGTAAGATATGTTCCGAGTGACACATCGCTGACCAGCTGGATCCTCCTCAACAAGGAACCGATTCCGTGGAAAATAAATTTTTATGGCTTTTAGCCTAACGATCGAATTTAGATGATGGAATGTTTCAACAATTAAAATTTAAAATAACACTTTATTAAGAGTCTTCTTCTTCTATGGTGTTTATATGGAGATTTTAGCTCAATGTAGGCTCTTTCTCCGAGTAGACTTGTGTATGTGTATGATCGCTAGGCGACCGATTAGCCGGCTGTATCGAACAGCCATACGTACGCGCGGGAAATAAATGCCTTCCGGGAGGACTTTTATGGGGAACTGGCCTCCTATTCAGTCGTTATAGGCAAGGAGAAAACCCGGAAAACTCCAAGCAGCCAGCCTGTCCGACCGTGGCGCGAACCCACGAC